GAGCGTCTCCTTTTTCACCCACATGGCTGATATCCTTTGCACAAGGGTGCAAATGTTCATGGTGAAAACTTACTTATTGCACAGCCTTAGAATGCCTGCATCATTGCTCTGTAGACATGTCCACTCTGACCTCCAACCAGGCAGGAAGCGAGCCTAATTAATTCCCGCTGATAATACTCAACACTGCCTCCCCAAAATATGGACATTTAATAATGTTTTGGTGATAATGAAATAATTTATCTTTTCTGTGGTGAATTCCTTTCAACTGAACCATGAACAGCATATACTGTACTGATTTAGGGAGGATAAATGTAATCCATGACAATTAAAAATGATGGGAGGAGTAAAAACCCATTCACCTGCCTATGACTACACTTCAGTGGTGAAGGCCTGATAATTCTAGTTGAATTTGTTAGTGGAAGAGCCTTTTATTTTAATGTACTTTAAAAATGCGGGGGCCTCTGCCTACCCATGCTAACTCAGTAGTGTGGAGCCATTTGAGGCAACCTCAGCGAACTCAAGAAAAGGACGGGATCTGTATTTACACTTTAGAACAAAAGAAAACAAGACTTTTTCCTGTTTAAATGTGTTCACATTTTGTTTATATTATTTCTAATATGGAACACAAATTACAGAATTTAAACCACATACACATAGGTACATATGTGTATATATATGCATGTGTATATTAAATCATGTGTAGCATATACACATGACTATTATAAGACACATATGCACATCTTCCCCCTTGAAAAAGAATTATTTTTATGATTTATTACTGGAAAGATTAGTATATTTGACTTTCTGAATCTAAAAGCTGCTTACCAACTGAAGTGGATATATAGATCAATTAAAATAAGTACTTATTGAATACAAACTTAAAAAATGGATCATTTTTATTGATGTGGTAGTTTGTGTGTGGGGTAGTGTTCTTTTAATACCGATGCAAATTGAACCATGCATGTCCCAGAAACTACTTACTAAAAACTTGGCTGATTGGTTAAGTCTTCTGTTGACAGTCACTTAATCAGAACTGTGAGGTTAGAATAAAGAAAAAAATCTCAAAGTGAAGCAAAAGGACATTTCTCATTCCTACGAGAACACATTTTAAAATCTGTTCTATTTAGGTTAATATACCTCATCAAATAACAGAAAAATTAAAGGTACAGTAAAACCCTATGTTCTAAGCTATTGAATAATTTCTTGTTTGGTTCTCAGAGCAAGGAAGTTGCATTGGTTATTTTGATAACTAAAAAAAAAAAACAACCTTACTTGCATATTTTCAAATCGAGCCTTTTAAAGCACATTATTTCAATCCAAGGCTACTAAAGCTACAATTGTAATGGCACTATATTCATTAATAACATATAATCCAAATTCAATTTACTTCTTTTGCTGCAGCTATTGTTGCGGTAGATAGTGAATTCTAAGAAATAGTGAATATACTCAAGTGACTAGTTTATAGTATACATCAGAAACAGGACATTTAGACTTTTATTTATAAGATTTTAAAACTTAGTGTTTATATTTTAGATACTACTGAAATATTATTTAAGGGACACATTCTTATTTTAGAAAATGTAGTTCTCATTTTATCATATATATTTATATTCCAGTAAACTTGGTTTCCCCTTTGATTTAATTTTATCCACTGAAAAATTGCCTCTGATGTGTTTTGCATTTCCCTCATCCTTTCAGATCTGTCCTTACATGTTTCACAAGCAGCAGATTTACTCTGGTGCTGTTAGCAATTTCTGCCACCAGAGAAGGTTTATATATATATCTTCCCCCTATGCTTCTCTTGCTAAGGTTTGAGAGAAACTGAGCTATATTTCAGTTCAAACTGAACTTCCTGTCCAGTTTTTAAAGTTTAATTTTTGTGCCTAAAAATAAATAACAATTGTTAGTTTACACTGACATTTTGAGACAAACTTTACTATTCCTACAGAATTTTACTGAACAGTTTTAATCTGTATGCTTGATTTTCAAAGGTTTCTGTTTTCATAATTAGATTTATTATGTTTTCTAGCCAAATGATTTTGAACATGTGTGTATCTAGTTTTATTTTGCTAATCAATAGAAATATGCATCTACAGCATACAGTTTAACTTTCTCTGTCAGGGGACCTCTGTGGAACCAAGTATGACCACTCTTCCACCTCTGACCAGACATTTAAATTACTTGGAATTTACTTTTTCTATTTGTTGAGGTTGGATCAAAATACTTGTGTCTGAATGCCTTAAAACTCACTCTGATGTAATAGAAAAATAGTGCGTCCCTATTATGTTTCTACATTGGCAATATCAACGCTACTATAATACAATTAATAATTAGGATAAGAATCTACCAAATGCTTCCCAGGTGCCAGGGAAAATACAGTGGGAGGAGGCCTAACTCAGTAGGATAGGATGGGCTGTGCTCTAGCAAAACAATCCCCAAATCACCACTGTCGTCCAACATGGGTCAGCATGAGGGCTGACCTGAAGGAGCTCCTTTTCTATGAATATTTCCATAACAAGTCCAGTGGGGGAAAAAAGATGTGGTCATCCTTCACTGGCTCTTCTTAAATCTTCTGGGTGCAATCCCCTTCTCTCTAGCTTTCATGAGCCAAAGCAAGTCACTAGGCCACGCCTCACTCCAAGAAAAACATTATGTGTGCACAGCCCTAAAAATTTGAGGATCATCTTTAATCCTCAAATCAGCAACTATAATAAATTCAAAACTTTTGACCGAGTCAGTCAAACTCTATTACCTTACCTTGCTTTATTTACCTTAAATTACTTATAACTATATAAACTCATATCAATTGTTTTAGAGATATGGGTATGGGTGATATGGATACATCCAGAGCAAGACCCTGCTCTCATCAGGGCAAAGACCTAGTCCATCTTACCCTTTTTTTCCTCCTCTTCTCTGCTGTCTCGTTCTTTCTTGTTTCCTCTCTCTTAACTCTATTGCCAGTATGTACATTATATTAACAGCTGGTATGTAATTAATAAATGAATAATAAATACATGAATGAGTGAATTATATCCAGTCTACAAATAAGAAAACACTCTTTGAAATATTAAGTAACTAAAGTAAGATAATATGGCTACGAAGGAGCAGAGCTGGGATTCAGAGCTCTGGTCTTAAATACTGAGCTTTATAGCTACGGTGCTTGCTAGTTACATAGGTTCATGGAAAAGACATACAATTTGTGAGTTAGCAGGAAAAATGCTACGAGAGAAGCATATATAAATTACTGTGGACATACACAGGGAGTAAAACCTAACTATCAGGTACAGCATGTTTGAAGGTAGTGAAAAATGGTAGGGAGGAATGTCTCAGGAATTCCTGCACTAGGTTTTGAGTCATATCTTGAAGATGTGTTTAAAACTTTGAAATGACTTCTTTTTCTTTCTACTATGAGCCAGACATGTGCTAACCACTAAGGATTCAAAAATTCTCAAGATAAGACTTGGCCCTTCCAGTGCCCTGAATCTCATGAGCTTTGTGACAGTCAGACATAGACAGAGAAAATCACTCCTCAGTGCAAGGCTGGCAGTCTTATCCGACGCTTTTGGATGGATAGGCGTGAGTAAGGCAGAGTAGTTTTCACTCTGGCCAAGTGAGCAGATGCTGATAGGACCACGACCTGCGGAAAGGTTTTTGGGAGCTATTGACTTTTAAGGCTGCCTAGCACATGATCATGGAGCAAGATGAAACAGGGCATGGTCTCTGACCTACCCCTTATTCTCTCTCACTACAGCATCCTCCAATGGTATTATTCCACATCTCTTTTCAGGCAGAAGCAGGAAAATAGAAAATCAGCTTGTCATAAGAGATACTAATGGCAAGAACTGAGAAAGGAAATACTTTAGTCTTCTATACCTAAAAGCCTATGAAATTAGACTCTTCCTAAATAAATGGGGAAAGTACCATTCTTATAAATAAGTTCAGTGCATATTTGCTACAGTTTTGTTAAGGGATAGTGGATGGTACCAAATGGTAGATAATGACACATTTAGATATTCTCAGCCTGCAAAAAGTGATAAAGACACTAAGTCTATTGACATTCAGAGAAGAAGAGATGTCCAATGGATACAGTGGAGGCTGGAATGAGGCCAATAAAACTACCCTTTACAGAGAGTGGGAGAAGGAGTTATCAAAGGGAGGAGTTATATCTTTAAAGATTAGGATTGGCTACCTGTAATAGAAAACTCCAAAATAACAATATCTACAAAAAACATAGTTTTATTTATCTCTTACTAAAAAATCCATCAATCCATCAATATGCAGCACAATATGACCTGATGTTTTCCTAGGATCATCTTTTTGTTCTATCATTAAACTGGGGGTGGGAGGGAATGATTATATGTTCAAAGAAATCATGGTTGAGAGATAAATAAAGGACCTATTTATAGAGCTGTAGAGAAGGTTAAGAGCAAGAAAAGAGGATATTAAAGATCCCAATGACTAGCAATTGGGAAAAGTCCACACTGTACTTAGGCTGTCCCAGGAACTTAGAGCTGTGGTCATAGGAAACAGAACTCTGGCCTTAGAGAGGGTCACACAACTACCACTGAACGTCAGTTTGGCAAAGAGGAAGTACAGGAGTGAGTGAATAATCGATCTCCCACTGCCCTCCATTTCATTGCTTCCCATTGGCCAAACACAGCTGGAAGCTATAGGGCATGGGAGCCCACAAGATACGTTAACCTCTCAGAGAACAAAATTCAGAGAAGAGTGAAGAACTGAACTGGAAGAACAAATATAGAATAATCAGAGTTTACACCTCTGCATTGTATCCCCTCAGCATCTGTTCTTTTCCTCCTTTTTTTTTTCTTTTTTCATATTGGGCAGCTTGAGTCAAAACCTCATTTGGTGTCCATAGTTAAGCATTGAGTTTACCAAAACCCACTTAAATGATAGGAGCTACTTTCGAATGGATTATAGTTTTGGCAAAATAGAACATGGATTTATTAATCTAAAACCCAAGTGATCTCTGCCGTTAGTCTCATGTTGGGACTTGCCAGAGACCTCACACAGTATCTCTGCGAACTACGTTCCCTTTCAGGACCATTGCGCTCGCTGCATCACGTGGTCCATTTCAGGAAAGCTTGCACCGCAGCTTTGACCTTCTGTGCAGTCTTCTCTTGCTTTGAGCCCCATGCAGAACTGCAGCCTTAAAGGCTTCCTGGTAAATACACCAAAACAACAGGCAAAACATTTTATGCGTTTGCTCCAAAATCTAAACAGGCTAATCAAGCAGTATGCCTATTTCTTCTTGGAGGTTAGTGAAAAGTGCAGCAACTTGTTTTTCACTTTAAGAGAGTATCCCCAGACACATCCCACCTCAGAGACCCTGTTTGCTGCATTTCATGCAAGCTCAGCAAAATCCAAAAACCTTACGGATTTTGCAGGACCTTCATGTATCTTACTAAAACAACCATGGAGTTGGTGCTTTCTTCTTACCTGCTTCAATTACTGTAATGCAGTGGATCAAAATGTAGGCCATAGAATGTCACCAACAAATAAACAGAGACTGCTCCATACTGGATTATGACATGGCAAAAAAAATGCCATAGACGTGCAGAGAGGTGGTAAAGAGTGTCACTGTCTCTGATATGTGAGGATTCCCCTGTTTCAGATTACGTTGTAGTAGGCAGTCAATGACAATGGTTTTTAGGGTAATGGTGCACCAGGGTCCAGGACATGCATGTGTTTGTTCCAGTGAAGTTTCCGTGCACAGAACAGCAGACACACTTGTTGCATCATCTGATTAAGGTTGTCATAATCCACAGTCACTCTCCAAGGTCCGGCTGACTCTTGCAGTAGTCAAACAGAAAAGTTAAATGGGGAAAAAAGAAATATTCATTCTGTTATCTCCTTGAGGAGATATTCTGTTAAGTCCTTGAGGGTGACACTAATATCTTCAATACCCACCAGAAATGTGGAACTGCTTCTGATTTTGTATCTTTTGGTTTAGTGTCTTGGGGGAAGACAACCATGAGAGGAAGGTGTGTGAACTATTTCTAAAGAAATAGCTCACATTCCACAGCAGAGAATCAATGGGAGAACCCTGCCAGTTTAGAAAAAATGGAGAAATAGTCCTGATAAATTTAGCGTAAGTCTGACTTTCCCAAGACTTCATCTCTCACCTGATTCCCATTAGGCCCTAATTAGACCACTGTAACAGATATCTCCATTCAGAACCAGTATTTAATGACCACATAAGCCTGGTTATTTGCTTTTTTCTTAGTCACATTATCAAGGCATTGTAGCTTCCAGAGAAGACTTGGAGAATAATTCACTAACTAAAGAGTTGGGACCCATTTTGAGAGTCTTTCCTCAAAGGGATCTAGCCTCCCTGCCAATCAAGCCGTTCTGTGTCTGTAAGATAATTTTAAGGGTGTCCAACCCCCAGCCTGCGGGCCACAGGTGGCCCAGGATGGCTATGAATGCGGCCAATGAAAAATTGTAAATTTACTTAAAGTATTATGAGATTTTTGTTTGTTTGTTTTTGTTAATGTTTGTGTATTTAATGGGTGGCCCAAGACAACTCTTTTTCTTCAGGTGTGGCCCAGAAACACCAAAAAGTTGGACACCCCTGGTTAAGTTTCAGAATTGAATCAGAGGCCATGAGCTTCACTACACTTCAGTTCTTCAAGTTTTGTTTATTCTCAGTAGATCTGGAATTTTTCTGCTTATATAAGTCAGATTAAGAAGCTGGCCAGCAGGGTTTTTTTTTATTCCTAGAGCCCTGGGAATAATTAGCCACTGCTACAGATCTCTGTGGCTAATTATGTTAATTATGCCCACTATATCTCAAATGAATACATGCCAACACCTGACCTTTATCACTCTGGATCCCATCATTTCCACTAGGGAACCTGAGTACATTGTTGCCAGCTCATGTCTTCTCTAGCCCACGGAAAACAACCACAACAGCCTTTTGATGAATTCTGGTGACCCCCACAGCAATGTGCTCCTTAATGCTCTGGATGTACTGAAAAAGTAAGTACTATAGCTTATGATATTTGGGTTCTAACCCTTCCTGTTAGAATGACTAGCTGACTAACTATTAAACTTTCTGGATCTTATTTATTTTAATGTTAAAATTCCAGCTCTGTTTTTGTGTTCACAGTACATGTAAGGGGCTAATGAAAGGACATATGTTGCATTCCTAGTGAAACACATTCTCAGTGTGAATTCCTGAACTCCTCCCTTTTCCATTTTTCCCTTTTCTTTACTTGCCCCAGTGTAATTTTACAGTACGTTATTGCTGTAGACCCCGCTTCAGCTCAGAATTGAAAATCTTCTACATTTTCTGCCATTAAGAAGAATGCTGGACATGACATTGTGTGTTCTTGTGATATTCCCAAACAGAGAAGCATCATTAAGGGAAGTATTGATAAAGCGTTCTGAACATCTTGGGAAAACAATAATTCAAATATTTACTCAAATTTTTGCAACATTAGCTACAGAAACAAAATGAAAACAACTTAGATATTGTAAATATTGCATACTTCAATTCTGTTAATGTTATGGATTCTGTTTCGCAAATATAAAATCAGATTTGGAAACCTCTTAGTATTTTGACAATCAGGTTTCAGCTCTGTGCCCTTTGGGATCTAATGCTAAATCTGATAGGTGGGTTATTTTTGACTTTCTGTTAATAGTTTCTCCTTAATCATTTGAAAAAAATAATAGTGGCAGAAGAAAAGAGCTTTTCATTTTTTCTTATTCTTATTTACTACACAAATAGCCAGTTGGATACAGTTTGAAACAGCAGGAACCAATTCATATATTTGAGCTAAATAAATAAAGTTCGATTGCATATTTTTCTGCTCAGATTGATAACTGGCACTATAAAGAGGTGCTTTGTACAAATTACATTGGAAACAGCTGACAACCAAGTCTTCCTGATGAAAACGACATGCCAAAATGTGCCTAAATATCATTTGTTTATGTCCACTATAAAGGGACTCTAAACCTGGAAACTCACATTCTAAAATTCTAGGACAGCTCTGTTAGATCTGACAAGTCCCCATAAGAGAGATCTTTAGGAACATAGAATCAAATCAGTCTTTTCCTAAGGGTTTCTCGTGTATGAAGCCCACCTACTCCCAATTCAAAAATTCTCCTAAGAGAAAGGATAGTTCTAGAACTTCACAAAATGATTCAATTGCCTTAATATAAAATATGAGGGAAATACTTAATATTACCTTTGGAATAGACTTCCATACGGCCTCTACTTCAAAGCTTATTTTGATTTCTTGGGGAAATCCACAGTTTCAGAAATTCGTCTTTGAATTAGTTCCTAGGAAAAACATTTCTCAGAGTTTGCTCTTGGGAAATATGACCAGTATCTCATTTATTATAAACTCACATGACTCACACCCCAGTACAGCCTTCCTGTCAGCTATTTACATGGGATCAGCGGAGTGTCTATGTATTCACCCCAACCAGGGTTTTGATTGTAGCTTCATTTTATAATAGTTAAGAAAGTATAGAAAACCAAAAGTTAAGTTGCTTATCTTGATGTTTTACCAACTACCTCATAAGAAACACATTATGTAAATTAATTTTTAATTATTAAAATTTGGTGTGATTTCATTAAAAGAGTCAAAGTTATAGCAGAGTCAAAACTTAAAAGAATATGAAAGTGTTATGTCACAAACCTGTTATGCAGAATTAAGAGAAGACTGAAGAAACCGAAGACTGTCTGTAAATAATTTTAATAAGTCCAGTAAAGACAAGGAGTGATTCTCGGGGTTTCTGATTGTTTTCTCTTTTCACTTGTCAAATAATCTCTTTATATAGCCCTCCTTCTTCAATATCTCTAATAGTCAGAGAGAGCATATTTAAAGTGGGTTTTTAAAGATAGATTCTCATTTAACAATAATTTTGCCAAATTACTTTGTGTACTTGTCAGGGATAAAACATTTTCTAATATTAAAATGAAAACACAAAAACAGAATAGAGTAAGAGTGCAAAGCTACACAGTACTCTTTTTGAAACTGTAAGAAATAAGTGCAAATATTTTAAATTTGCAATATACATATTGAAGAATGCTGTAATATTCCTTTCTTGCACATATGAATTTTCTTACATTACCAACAGTATTTGCCTAAAATCTTGACTGAGTTCTCAAATTCCAATGGCCAATGTCATCACTGTTATCACCTTCCTGTGTTTATATGCAGAATCAGTCCCAGAATTGGTTCATATGCAGAATGATTCATTGGAAATGAGGTGACTGGCCGAGGCATCCTGACCACACTATGCAAATTCCCAGCTGGTGGACAATTAGTAACTAATTTGTTAAATAACTTTTAGGTTATTCAAATATAAAATGTTTATTTAATATGCATTTGTGTGCAGAATGACTACATTTTTTGACATGATTTGAGAGGCTATCACACTATCTTAAATGTGTGTCTTAACAATAGGAATGATCCTGAAACAGAGTTGAGTCAGAAAACATCAATGTTTTTAAATGGAAGAGATGAACAAAAGAAATATAGAAGTGTGTAAAAGAGATAGAGAACCCTACAAGAAAAGGTTGAAATCCAAAAAAAAATATGTTTAAAAAAGGGTGACAGCTTACTGACTAGCAAATATAGAAAGAGTTTCTGCTGTATACTGAGCACCAGCTTAATATGTTCCTGACCATTTGGGGTAGACATGGCCAAGAGACAGCCATTTATCAATGCGTCCACAGTTCACTGTTATTCTCTGAGTTTAGGAAGCGATGAAAATAAAACCACTTTTCACTTGATGCTCAAGATAATGAAAAGTTAGGAGAAAGTGATGTCATCATGTGTCTCGTTTGTACAGCCCACGTCCGGGCAGGACTCAGGCAGTCTCTGCATCACACAGTCTTTCTGCATCACTGTGGGCTGAGAGCTGATCTGTACTTTAGAATGGCTGCCATTAACTGAGTACATACTATGAGAAGACTCAAGGTTTAGTGCTCTGTACATATATTAGCAATTCTAAAAGCCAGTTATGAGTATCCCTATTTTACAACAGACAACTCCAAAGTTCAGAGGATTAGCAAGTTACCTGAGCTCACACAGCTAATTAGGGGGTAAGGCAAACAGGAGCTCACTGTGGCCCCACAGTTAATACTTTTTCTGCTAAATTCCAAAGCCACCCTCAGAGGCTTTGTTAATGTTAGTAACTCACTAACATTTTGTCATCCATGTTTGGGTGAATCAATACTTGGAATTTCACCATAATACTCAATAAACTCATCTACCCTTTTAGTCAACCAAGTACATTCTAACACACTGAATTGCTCTTCTCATTTCTTCAAACGTAAGTCATCACGTTAATGTAATAGGAAAACTGCTAATCCCACTTCTTTTTATCTGAGAAATAGCTTTTCTACTTTTCAGGGATTTAAGAGCACCTCAAAAGCAGTGATATGTGTCAGTGATAGAATAGAAATGGCTCTCACTTTGTTGCACTCCATAAATATTATTTCCTTCTTCTACTCCCATCTCAAAAAAAGCTTATAAAAATTTAAAAATTTAGTTTACTTATGATACTTTAGGAGAGGTTAAAATCATTTGGACTAAGGCTAGACAAGACAATAGTAATGCTTCTGAAAATGTAAATAAAGAACTTTAAAGTATTGACATTATACTTAAAAGGACATGATAGAGCAGATATCAAATTGATTTGAAAACAATATATGCTTACAGTTCATGAAAATAAGACCACACTTAACATTTTAATTCTCTAAAAATATGGAATAACTACTATGTGCCAGGCCCTGAGTGAATAGTAGTGAATAAATAAAATGAGTATAGTCCCCAAACATGGAGCTTACAGACATGAAACAGATATACACATAGAAGTATATTCTTACAGAATATTATAATGCTAGGAAGATAAGGAGAGAATGCCAAAAAATTATAACAATGAAAAAGGTGAAGGACTTTGCCAAAGAACATATATGCATAACTCCTAGACACAGACAACAATGTGTGATGGCCAGAGGGAAGGGGGGAGTTGACACAGGGGGAGAAAATGGGAACATTTGTAATAGTGTCAAGATAAAATTAAAGAAAAATTATACTGATGAAGTCAGAACTGTTACAGATTGAGAATTATGAACAATCTCATTGAATAGACGGTGAAAATGGAAAGGGGTTGCTCTAGACAGATCCTCTGTGGCAGTGTTTGGTACATTGAAGGAACTGAAGCATCCAGTGGAGACTTGTGACCCAGGCAGAAACTGGAGCAAGATGACATTGTTTACATAAGAAAAGGCCAGATTCTAGCATCTTAGACCAAGCTTAGACCAAGCATCTTAAAAGAGTTTGCGTATTATACTAAGGGTTTGAAACATGGGATAGAGATGATTTGATTTAGATACAGGAAGATCACAGAATTTAATTAAAACATGCATACAAATGTGCATACAAAAGCATGGATTATGTTGCTTGTCTGTAAGTTTTTCATATTTGTCTTTAACTTCCTCTTATTTCTAACCCACGGGTCAATAGGAAGGGGAAATGATTCCTCATTCTGCATACAGTTTCATCAGACCTGATAATTACAGTTCTTGGGTGATTAATCTCTCTTGAATAAAAACACTCTGCCTCTCATTATGCTTTTCCTGCCCACTGCCTGATGCTTTCCCTCCGTTGTCTTTTGAATATGTCCAAGCACAGGCTAACTGCATGATCCCACAGGGACAGGAAATTGGCAGAGGGGTGTGGTGGTTTTCCGATCCTCCTCTTCCTCTGGCTTTCTCCTTCTCTCCCTGGTCCCTCACTCTGCTCCCTATTCCCTAACCAGGAAGGGGCGAGTGTTCAGGTTGTATCCCCTTGGTCACACTCTCCCAGCTCCAGGAAGCAGAACTCATTACCCCACGTGGAAGGAGAACATTTTCAACAATAGGAGACATGGTGAAATCAGTCTTAAACCCCTGCCCCTTATAAAGATGAAGGTGGAGATGAAGGTATTCATTTTTCCACAATATCCACCCCCATGCAGTCCTCTCACTGCAAAATAACCCCATAAAGATTGGAAGAGGAGCATTATTTCCCACTTTTCTCAGTCTTCACTCTACAACCACCTCCCAGACCCAAGAAAGGCTGGTGCTTCTAGGACACCAGGACAGAGTCAGGTAATCAGAAAGACGAAACAGAAAACCTGACAGTTCTTAAATTTGTAAATGAAGTTTGTGTAATTTGTAAAGACTGTCTAGAAAGAAAACGAGGGCGGGTTTCCCTATATGGGTGGCAGAGAAGGTAACAAGAATGAGTGGAATGAATGACAGTACACAGTGACGGTAAGAGGAGACAGAGCAAGGCAGTTTCTTAATATTTCACCAAAAATCTTAATTAGAAAGTTTAACATATTCTTTCCATTCTTCAAAATTTACATATATTTTAAACGTTGAAAAATACTTACATTCTAGTCCACCATGTCAGGAAGAACGAACATCCTCTTTCATTAAAGTATCTCTTATTAATTTAATGAGAGTTTTGGAAGGACTCTCTTCAATGCTTCTCTGATTTTATTTCCTTAAACTTACAATATTTAGATTATACACTCTTCCCTGGGATGACAAGAATAAAATAAATTGTCAATGTTCATGGCTCAATTACTACTAAGAACCAACATCTTAATGCTTACACTGCTGTATTTGTAGTGTTTCCCCATTGCTGTTTATGTGGGCCATGTTATCAAAAATATACTTTTTGTCTTACAGGTAGTCTTTATCTGAGTTTGAAGAATTAAGGGTATTGCTTCCCTTCACCTAATTATTCAGATTCTAAGAGAGAGAAATTACATTAGCTATTTATATGAGGTCTGTCCAGAAGGTATCCAGTCATGTAATATGAAAAATAGAGACATTTATTGAAAAAGATTCAAGATGCAAGAAAGAAACATTGTATATAAGACAGTGATGCCTCAGCCCCCTTCAAAGCAGGCACCTTGTGACCTCATACAGTTCTCCCATCAGCAATTGTATTTTTTCTGAATCTCATCAATGGTCTGAAATCTCTTTCCTTTCAAAGGTGATTTTAGTTTTAGGAAAAGCCAGGAGTCACAGGACACCAAATCTGGACTCTGGGAGGGCTGGGTCACCTGGGTGATTTGATGTTTTGCCTAAAATTTTTGCAGAAGACCATGGGCAGACATGTGGTTGTGATGAAGCTGCCAGTCACCGGCTGCCCATAGCTGCAACCTAATGAATCATCCGAAGAGTTTCACAGAAGAATGTTCAAACTTAATGCAAAATTTGATGCAAATTTGTTGCTCTACTCACTCGGTCATTTTGAATGCAAC